TTTTTAAAGATTTTAAAATACAAACTACAATTCTGTAATTGAAACTTCCACACTATAGAAGGGTAAATCCATTCTCTGCATGTTTAACAATGAGTCTGAGATAAGCTCCTATATGGAGAGAGAAGTGAGAGATCTTTTGAACAGTGGCAGTAGTTGCTACCACTTACCTTTGCTGCTATTAATAAATAGCAGTTTAACAGATTGCACTTTCAAAGACCAAATGTTTGATGTGCCAGTTCTTTTCTAGCACACAGGATGTCCAAAACCATAGGATTTTCTTTCCTGGCAGCACTTAAAATATGACAGTGGCTTTCCTCACACAGGGAAATTACAGACTCAAAACAAGAAAATGTAAATGACCCCACCACCCCCTCCACAAAAAAAAAAAAAACCCAAAACTTGAGGCAATGCCTTGTTCTTTAAATTTATCTGCTTCTGAGGTTTCTTCTGATCTGTGATTTCCAGAGAAATCATTCTCTTCCAAATAAGCCAGTATGGTTGGGGGGGCTTCCACTGGCTCAGCCAATGTATCTTCAGGCTGAAAAAAAAAAATAATCCCAAAGAACAGTTTAGAGTAAAGGCTTATCACATGTTTTAAAGGAAGAATCACTAGATTACCTTCCTCAAAGCACAGTAATCAGAACTACCATATCCATGAAGCAAACCAGAATTCTGAGAAAAAATAGTATAGTACCTTTGGAATCCATTCCTCCAAAGCAAGGGATGTACACTTGAGAAACCCACAGAGAGGGAGGAAACCACAAGCAACATACACTTGTCAGAGACTGTATTTTCAGGTAGGATCTTTGGCTTGGTTCATTCCAGCTTGGTTCATGCCAGCTCAGCACTGATCCACCTACTAAAATGTCTTTATTTCAAACCATGAGTTTTCTGACTTCTCTTCCAATTCTGTGCCCATCCCACTGGTGGGGCAATGAGGGAATGGCTGTGTGGTGCTTAGTGGCCACCTGGGATTAAATCATATCTTTCATAAGGAGGAATAAAAGCCAAAAATTCTACTATTGCTGTGCGTAAATTTGAATAGTGCAGTAATTATGAAGATTATTAAACAGAAGCTAAAAACAATAGCTAAAATTAATATTCTTCTAGATAGAGAAGCTAGACATACTTCCTGAATTAGCTACAGTTTTATCCAAATGAGAAAAAGCCAAGGCACAGTAAGATTTCCTGGATTAAATTTTGTGGTGTGATGTAAAATGCAGAGGAATCATCAAGCACTAGGGTGATTTTGCTGCCATTTGGAAAAACCCTACCTGGCTGCAAAAATTCAGGAACAGTAAAGTGCAAATCCTGCATCCAATGAGGAATTACCCCATGCAGCAGTACCAGCTGGGGCCAGCTGCCTGTCTTTGGATCACTTTGCAAAAGATGAGAGAGCAAGGACTGCCTCAAGAAGGCTCAGAACTATCTTACCAATGTGTAGAAGACCTTAAGTGAGAGTAAAGAAGACAGAATGAGATCCTTCTCTGTAGCCAGTGAAGGGAAAAGAGACAATAGAAACACACTGAAATACTACAAATTCAGGCTCTATGTCAGAAAAAAACCTGCATTGAAACAGAGAGGCTGTGGAGTTTCTGTTCTTGAGGAAATCCAAAACCAAATGGCACTGAACAACCTGCTTACTGAGCAACTTGCTGTATTTGGCTCTGCTTTGAAAATGGAATTGGACAGGGCAATTTTCAAAGGCCCCTTTCAAACTCAGCTACTCTGTGATTCTGCACAAAGCACAAGGCATGCAAAAATGAGTTTAGTGAGCTACATGGAAAAGGTAAAAAAATGAATAAAAATTTATTCAAACACATCAGGAACAGGAGGCTGGGACAATACTTAATAAAGTTATGAAAAGAGTAATCAGTGAATTTGAAGTCTATAATAGAAAAAATAGGATTTTCTTCCATTCATGTTGAACCTGGAATAGTTAAAATTCCTGCAGAAAAGCATTTTTTGGACATACAGCAGTGGATATGACTAAAACTGAAGTCTTTGTATGAAAAGGGTAGGAAACACAGTAAGTGAATGACAGAACATCACAACCAAGTAGTATTTGCCCACGGGTTCTGTAAGATCCAACAGTGAAATAGCTGAAGTATGTACAATATCAGACAAATGTGAGCATGGCTTCTGTGAAGAAATTTCTTGGAAAACAACTGATTTTCTCTAAAGGAACCAATGTGAACTTGTATTTAAAAAATGAGTGTTTGACACAAGCAGCATGGAAAGCTTCATTGTGAGGAATGGACTTGAATATTTAAACTTGGTACAAAAAGTGAGGAGGACACAATGTATTAGAAATCTCTAAAAATGGTAAGAAACAGCTGTTTACTCTGTTATCCAGCCAATTAACAATCAAATGAGAGCCACAGTCAGCATGTTCAGAAGGACAAGAAAAAGGTGCATGTCCTTCACAAAACAAGCAATTAGCTAAGGAATTCTGCAGCAGGAATCAGAGGGTGATGAAATTCTCATGTGTTAAAAAAATCCCAAATAATAAAGCAAGAAATTCAAGGATTAATAACTCAGCTGAGTTCTACTAACCACATATAATCTTGGTCCAAGCATTTCCTGAGATAAAAATTTGTTCAGATTAACAGTGTTCCCGGGAAGTGTCATCTATATTTTCCCAATCTTGTATTATACTCTTCCCAAGATCTGTTTGCTGATTGCTATCAAATATACCAGATTTTTTATCTGGCACTGTGCCACCATTCTCATGGATGGGTGCACATTGTTCTCATGGGAGCCTTTGAAAATTGCCAAATATGAAAGTTATTAATCAAATTCAAACCCCATCCTTTAAAATAGCAATATTAAAACAGATGTTTAAAGTAAATAAAGCAAATAAATTTACCCTTATGGGAAGACGAGAAGGTGCAAGGGCTTCTTGTGCCTCAGAACTGTCATGTTCTTGAATGCGGCCATTGCCACTGCTGTCCCCTGAAGCCTGTGCAAAACCCAATTATTTTGAGCAAGTTCATAAAAGTCAGGGAAAAAACCATGATCTCCAAGGAATTGGCTATTTAAATGCAGAAAAATGCCCCTTATTTTTTTTTTTTTTTGACTGGTGAAACCTCAATGTCATTATGTTAACTTATTTCAGTACTTACAGCATTCCATAAAAATGACCCTTCAGAAAAAATAAAAGCCATAGTTCATTTCCTGAAAGCTTTTTTTAGACAAAACAAAATTATACTTTTTGAAAATATAGATTTTGGGGGTTGTACAGGAAAAAAATATGCCCCACAGATTGTTTTAAACATGATGTTTCCAAGAAAAAAATCCTACATTTAGTGTTATGAAAGATGTCAAACAGAAGTTTACTTTGAAATCTCTGAGGCATTGAGGTAGTGTTTATAAGAATACTTACATAAGGGTCATCATCTTCGCAATGATCCTCAGTAGCCCTTGGGTCAGATTTTATTGTCAGATGTTGAATTGAGCCCTACATGGAACATCAAAAACATTTCAAGGAAGTATTAAGTAGCATGTGTGAAGGAGAATGAAGGTGGAGGGTGGGGGGAGTTAAACAAAACACAAAATACCCCAAACTGTGTTCAGATTTACTTGGAAAATGGTCTAAAGTATAAAATTCCATAATAGTAATCCAAATTTAAGATATAAATATGTTCACAAATTTTTCTTTCGCAAAATGTAGACCAAATGGAAGCTGCCAGAATATAATGACTGTCATGTCCCAATGACACTGTGATCACCACACTGCATTGTTAGTGCCCCAGTTGAAGAATCTAGTCCTGGATTGTGTCATACATGCTGTAAAAAACTCTGGATTTTTAAAGTAAGAAGTGCATTGCAGCTCCAGAAGTGGTATGTGAAATCCCTAGAAATGGAGACAAAGGATGGGAAGGGAATAAATTATGAAGTCAGGCAAGAAGAAACCAGTATAAAACTTTCCAGAGAGGAAGTAAAGGAGATGGATTTTCTGATAATAAATGTTTCTTTTTTCAGTCACCAACTGCAATTCTCAGTCTGACATGCTGAAGGAGCAGTAACAATTTAATTTAAAATATTTAACTATTGTTTCTGCAAAGACTCAAAGTGCCTTAAGAAATATGGGGGATGTTTCCTTATTACAAGGTCTCACAGAGTTAGACATGATGCACAATAGGGCACAAAGATAAATATTCAAGTCAAGAACCTGTTTACATATAACACACAACCTAGAATAAAAGAATATAATTTTTGATTCTATCTTTTAAAATCCTCTAGTTTATCTGCCTTTGAAGACTAGGAAACTCATGCACCTGGTGCCTCCTGAGTTTGCTGGACTTCTGAGGCAATAGCTTAGTAATCTCAGCATCCTATTTCTCTCAAAACTTAATGGGCAACTCAGATATTGAACGATGTCACACTGACTGAACAGTTCACTGAAAAATCATACATAAAAGGAGGCACAACCAATTAAGTAGTCTCCTGGAAGTGATCTTTTTTTTTACAGTGCAAGTGAATAACATTTGGAGAACACAAATTTCTCCTCTTTCTCTAATCTGTGGCCCTGGATGATAAAGAAAGCAAAATGGAGAGCTCTAATGTTTCTGAAGTGTTACTGCTAGCTGATTCATCCAACTAGGAAAACCATGGACCAGTCTGCATGACAGAGGTGGTAGATATGTGATATTTACTCCCTCTCTGGGTTTTATAGCTGATGCTGCCTTCCCTGTAAAAACTAGTTTGCAGCATCTGGCTTCATCACCGATTCAGCTATACTTGGTTGTTGTCTGGTTTCTACTTCTCTTTACAAGCATCAGGGCTAGATTTTCCTTTGGTTTCAATAAAGCTGATGATAGTTATGTTCTTTTGTGTCTGATAACCACAGCCTTAGACACATGAATTACCATTAGGCAGAGCAAACCAACATCTGACATCTATTCATTTGCACAATCTGTTATTATTTGTTTCTGTTTTGGGCAATTAATGTAAACAGTTCTTGGCACAAAAACAGAGTTTGAGTGAGGTTCAAACATTTAGTTTTTCTACTCAAAAGCAATTGTGACATATGATGCAAGAAGAAATAAAGGCATGGGAACCTAGACTACAAGTCACAATTAGTGCTAATGAAGCACTCAGAGTATTGGCTGAAACTTATGTATTTAATATAGCACACAGAAGAGCCTCTTTCCATGGAAATGCATTACAGTGTCATCCACCATGCATTTCTGTCATCATATTTCTAGATTTATTGGTGATCATCTCAGCAAGTGATCATCACATATGTTTTCCAGGTGGGATAATGTCCTGGGTTGCAACATGTGGCTGGGGGTGTGTATTCTATTGCCACCTGTTAGAGGTGGGGCAGTTATGCTCTGTTAATTGGGCAGTTTTCATTATCTCTTCTACAAATCAATCCTCCCTCTGGGAAATATCTGCTGTTAATGGGCCACTGTGTGTCATTGCATGACGGATAAAATTACATCATCCATTGGGAGATGCTGCACCCAGGGGTCAGAGCCAAGCATTCCTACCTGGACATAATCTGAGATTCAAAACACCAGTCAGCCTTTTCCACTGGATTCCCAGAGGAGCAGCTGTCTTCTCCACTGGATTCCTACAGGAAGACCAGGATCATCTACACCACCACTGGATCTTCAGAGGAAAACTACACCCTTCTACAGGATCACTGCCTCAATAGAACCACATCTGCCGCTCTAGGAGGACTGGACTGCTACCAACACCCCAACATCCTGACCAACAGGGTGTCAGGTTGTATTCTGTCAGTGTTGTTTTGTATTGCTGCATTTTTTATTTAATTTTTATTTTCTTCCCCAATAAAGAATTGTTATTCCTGCTCCCATATCTTTGCCTGAGAGCCCCTTAATTTCAAAATTGTAACAATTTGGAAGGAGAGAGTTTACGTGTTTAATTTCAGGGGAGGCTCCTGCCTTCCTTAGCAGACACCTGTCTTTTTCAAACCAAGACAGATACCAAAGTGGTTTCCTTTTCTTGAATGTTTCTCAATCCTGCTTAGTGATCTGGCATTCACAATACTCCAGTCCTCCTATTTGCCTAAGAAAGGTAGTATCAATGTGCAGTTTCCCTACATATCACTTTCCACCTGTTATTTCCTGCTAATCCTATGATTCTAGCTGCTTAGACTAGTCAGACAAATGATAAAAGTACATTAAACTTGCTGCTTACCAGGTGCAGCTCACAACCTGCCAGTATGCCTGCATTTTGGAAAGAACATCTTTATTCCCTAAAGAAAAGGATCCACTCTGTTTTGTGCTGCTGCTTGACTAATTTAGAAGAGACATTAATTTCTCAAAACACAGTACAAGTTCTGAAGTACAGGAAATACAAAAATAGGACAGATAAAGTGTGACATATTCCTTTCCATTTGACAGAATTGATCTCACACATAATGTCTGCTCTCGGTGGCTGAAAATTTCAGTCAAGATGCAGCAGAAAAGATGCTTGCACTCAAGCTAAGAAGGCTTGAGAACCCTGTAGTAGTGGTTTTGGTTCATTCTATTTCCTTAAGCACCTGATAAGCTTTAAATAACAAATAAATTGTAAAAATACACCCTTATTTTCCAACTATCTTTACCTTTGATGACATCATTCTCCTTCTGATGTCAAATATGAATTCCTAATTAGAATTTAAAATGTTGGCTTAATAGTAAGGTATTCTCAGAAATTAGGAAAATGAATTCTCTGAAATCTGCCCTTCTTAGAAAAGCCATAAAAATTATGTGACTTCGAAATTTCTAGTATTCAAACTGAAGATTTGGCTTAATACCTAGACTATTAATAAAATTCTGAGGCTCTCAGAACATTTGTATATTAAACTAGAGGTTATATAATTTCACTGTCCAAACCCTAGCTAGCTATGGAAAATACAGGCTATATGATTTGACTCTCACTTGGAATATAACCACATTAAGCAGGACTTCTTGGGTAGGGAGTACATGCATGAAACACTGAGGCGTGTGAATTTATCAGACAGCACTTACTGTGAACTTTTCCAGGCCTGTGGCTCCTGCATTACCAACAAATATGCCAGAGCCAGATTCAAATACCAAGGTTCGAGCAGGCCTTTGAAACTGAAGCCTTTGATACTCTTCACAGTCCATGAACAAAGCAATATCATTCCCCTCAACAGTCACTGTAAATCTATTCCACCTGTTAGTCATCACTGGCACTTTAAAGGAAGCAGCCTCTCGGGAGATACGGGATCCAGGCTCTGTGTAGTACATGATTATTCTCTGGGTGCTGTCATCAACGGGTGAAATCCTCAGTCCTAGGTAGATTGTTTTCTGGAAGGCATCTGTTATTGCAAAGAGCACTCCTCCATGGTCATTGTTTGGTTTCACGGTGACCACGATAGCAAAATCTCTGTAGAAAGGTGATGGTATGATAGCACTGGTCAGCCGGCCGATGTTGGAGTCTGGACCAAAGCTATAAGCTGGGAACCCTCCATAGCCCGTGACAAAGTAGACAGAAGGAGGAAGAGGGACTCCTATTAACTCCGTGAGGTCAAGGTGTCTTTTTGAGCCTCGTTCTGTGCATGAGAGAAAATATGTTATTTGTCCTTGAGGTACACAGCCTATTGGATTTACATGATTGAAGAAAGGCCTGAAAAACTGAAATGCAGTGTTATAATACCAGAAAAATACTTCTGATACATCAAGCCAGAGTCCAGGTTGTGCTAAACACATCTAGCTATGTACACATGTAATTTTTTATCCTTTGACTAAGAGAGATTACTTGTATGCACATGTAAACCTTTGGTGAAATTGAATAGCAACATATATTTTCTCCAGCTGTCCATAAACTGCAAAAAATGCTGAATGTGCTTGCATAGTGGATTCAGTGGAAAATGTGCAACATTTGATTTCTTAAATATATTGAGATTCATTTTTTTCTCACAAAGACATCAATATTTCTCTACAAACAGCATGGCACAGTTTCACAAAACAGGATAAAATTTACAGTTTCTTTAGCCCTTGCTAAACCTATGTCTACAACAGAGGTTAGATTTTATTTATGCCCTATTTTCACCCATATTTATGCCCATTTTTATCTCCTAAATTGCACTGTGTACATAATAAATATTGTTCAGCAATCGAAAATCAGTTTTGAAAGGAGAATGTTTACGCTTTGGCAAAAAGGCAGAATTATGTATCTCTGCCAGAGATACCCAGAAAGACAACTTCTACCAGGTAATGAAGGAGCAATGACAAGAGCTAAGTATCTGCACCCAATTTTAACTAGAACCTTGGGGAGGCACACTCTAGCAGCACAACAGAAGCACAACTTCCAGTTTACTTCTTCTAAGAAGTAAAAGCAAGCAAGAAAAGGTAACATTTTTAATCATAATTACCAATTCAGAATCCTCTTTTGATTTTTGAACTTATTCAGTTACCTGTGACTGTAACAGCTAGATAGGCTGAATAAATCCAAATGGAACAGTAATGGAAAAGGTACGACAGTCCATCTGAATAGGACAGGCAAAATGAACTGAAAAGAACTTTGCTTAAAATACCTGATTAAAATCAGACAAAATAAATTAATCTTACTCTTTGCTCTGTAAATTGGCAAGCTGGTTCTAATGAAGAGCTATAGAGTTTATTCAGCTGCAATGTACTTCTGTTATTCATTGATCATATGCAGTACCAGCCTGGAATATGCATGACAAAGTGTCTTCCATTATATTAGTGGGTTTGTAAAGAAATTGTAATGTGTTCTTTCTGTGCCAGAGATGTTATAGCACATAAAGATGTTATACTTGAAATAAATACTAATCTATCTTATTCTCTGTACTTTATAATCATCGAATCATAAAAGTTGGAAAAGACCTCCAAGATCATTGAGCCCAAATGTTAACCCAGCCCCATCATGTTCACCACTAAACAATGACCACAACTGCCACATCCACACGCCTTTTGAACACCTCCAGGGGTAACTCATTAACTGAAAAAAGGCTGATGTGCTTCATACAGAAACAATTGCCCTGAAATATTTTTGAAAGTAGAGATGTTTCGTTTAGAAAAACTAGCTCCTCATCCAGAAACCAAATCCCTTTGACACTTTAAATTCTTTGCCAGATAGATTTTTTTCCCCCTCCCCAATAGCTTAGAAAGTGGATACACTTATTTTCTGGCCAAACACAGCTAACAATATTTTAATTGTCAGTCTAATATTGGGTCATGTTTTCTATTCACACATACATGCACATAAAGGAACCTGCACTACAAGCAAAATACATAAGCTATTACAAAAGGGTAAGAAGGTAAGGAAAATAATGAACTTGAGGGATAATATATGAATTGTACACTGATACCAAAGCTACATGCAAAGAGTCATGGTAAAGTGACCAAGAAAGGAGATGGACAATACCTAAGATGTTCAACAATCAGGCTTAGACAGCAGGATGCATCCTAGGAGCAAAATTAATAAATACAACTGTAGTTTCACATTTCACATTCTCAAGGAAGATGTGGTGATTGGAAAGGAGCCCATTCATTCTCCCCACACAATGTGTGGAGCTGCACTCTAGTTGCAGTTTCCCAGTCACTTACCCAACAGTAACAGAGAACTAAACATGAGCTCTTTTAGCCTCTGAGAGAAACAAAACGTGTTTGCAAAAGGTGGCAGCAAAAGACAGCAAAGAGTCAGGATTTTTGCTTCAGTAAAATAGGTCAGAAGGCCCAGGACAGTCTGAACTTCAGTGAGGTTGGGATAGAAACTTGCACGTACCCACTGCAGAAATTCAAAATGAAACAAGAAGTGTCCAGTCAAATTCTGTACTTAGAGTTCATATCCAGCTCTTAATGGATTTATGAGGACCTAGAGACACAGTCAAAAGCAGAATTCAGACCTACAGCCACAGGTTTTCGATTATGTCTGACAAAATTAATGTCCCCCTAATGCTCCATTTATTAATGTTAGAATAAAAATACTCTCTTATTCCCTTACATAAATAGGTAAATGCTATGCTATTTTAAGTACCTGTAAGCCAGCAGAGAACTATGTCACATCAGAATAGTTTTGTTTCAAACACTACTAAGGCACTGGATATTGGGGAGCATCCAGAATTCATCCAATTTATAGCCATGCTTCCTAGACCTGGGACACTGGAAGTTGTAGTAAAGAAGCAACTTTAATATTAGCTATATTTTATCTCAACCAGCATAATCCCATAAATTGGGATGGTACTTTTATAATTTAGAGCTATGAGCTGTGCTGTACTTCACATTTGTTACTATTTGTTAGTGTATTTTATAGTTTGAATTGTTATAGAATTTGCTGATAGCTGGCAATTCCCACTGAGTAGCTTCAGAGACCCTTTGCAAAGCACCAATGTGTTGTAAAAATAATCCAGTAAGTCAGTATATAGGGTGTTTCAAGACTGCAGACTATAATAGTAGGGGTTAGGTTGTTGGGTTTTTTCCTTTTATTTCAATTTTTTTGATGTAATTACTTAGGCATGGTGGAATTTCAGATCTGCGGGATCCAAAATGCTTTTTTCACTGCTTAAGGGATTAAGTAGAGGAAAGAAAAAAACCCACCTGCTTGGAGGCCTATTAAATTTGTTTAGGTGTTGAGGCACAAAGCAAATATTTATATGTTTATAATATATTAATATTTTAATATATATTACAATATTTATATGTTATAAAAGGGAATGGAAGCAGAGGAAACTCCACATTCATATAATATAACTTATTACACTGTGACATTGTTTAGGAGCCTCCTTTCAGATGCAATTTCTGGCACCCACAGCAGTTCCTCTGGTCTGTGCACAGGTGTTACATCATCCTGGTTGCCTCCTCCTCATGATTTCCCTCATGGAGCAGGGTAGCCCCAGTGCTAGGCCTGATGCAAAACCCTTGGATGATCAAGCTGAATAATAGATTCATACAATTCTTTGGGTTGGAAGGGACCTTCAAAGTCAAGTATTTCCAGCCCCTCTGCCATGGGCAGGGGCTAGGTTGCTCAGAGCCCCATCCAACCTGGCCTTAAACACTTCAAGGATGGGGCATCCACAGCTACTCTGGGCAACCTTTCCAGTGCCCCACCACCCTTGTAAGTAAGGAACATCCTCCTAACATCTAATCTAAACCTACCCTTCAGTTTATGCGTCTGGCCACTACACGCCCTTGGGAAAAGTCCCTTCTCCAGCTCTCTTGTAGGCCCCTTTAGGTACTGGAACTTGCTATAAAGTCTCCTGCAAACTTTCTCTTCTTCAGAGAAGATGCCATCAGGATGCTATTTTAAAAGCTACTTTAGGAATATGACTAGAATCCAGAATTTTCTTACAAATAGTAATTTAAAACACGAGATTAGTCACTGGAAATAGGGTATTTGTGTTTCCTGTTGTCTACAAGAGCTCATATACAACTTAGAATACCCACAGTTCCTGTTTCTAGCTGGTACACTACACTTCAACACAACCTAGTTTCAAAGGTGATATAAAGCATACTGTCACACAGACTTTGGGAAACTACTACAACAGAGTCAAAGGCTACAGGGTTACAGATAAGGACACTGTCAGTCTACTTTTATCCATGGTTTCACCACTAAAAAATAGAAGCAGAGTTCAAAGGCAAGGCCCTCACCTCTGACATAAGACAGAGTTACCCATCTCAGTCTAATTTTAAAATATGCAGTTCTAATGTTCCAAGTCTGAAAAAAAAGAAGAGAAATATTGACAAGTCCTTTGAGCAAAAGATCGTGATTGGCAGTGGTATGGTCAGTCCAACCCAAATTGCATGCACTACCTCAAACACACCGCTGTTGTCTTCCTTGCTGTGAGAAGATGAGTGAGCTGGACTATCTCAACTACATGAATGCAAAGATGAAGTTACATGAAGTTACAGATGTTTGTCATATTTGGCCCCAGCCATGTACACTTCAGCAGTAACATTCATTCAACTGATATGTTAAGTATTGTCCCATTTATGTTTTCTGTTATGTTTTTATCTAGAAATGCATGCTAACAATTATTCAGGTAAATAAGCTGCCACATTTAGCCCAATTCTGTTCCAGGTTAATGAACCATGATGGATACATAAGGGTCAGAATAACATGCTCAAGTGGTTACTATTTGCTAACTATAAGAAGTCAACCATCCTGTTGCTGTGACAGCTGGCTTTATCTCACTCAAGGGAGGGCTTGGGTGGCTCCACACAGATGGGAGTGGGATAGGTGCTGGCTTTTGAATGAAATTATTATTTTCCCTTTGTTTCTATCTTAACTTTACCTAGTGTTTCCCCCTGTTCCTCTTCAGACACTTTTATTGGAGCAGCTCCTGGCCCATGCCTGTGAAAGTCCATTCACTCTATGGTCATTGACTCTCATCCTGTGCAAGAACAGCTCTTTTCACTGCTGTCCACTGCTGCATGAGCCTTGCAGGCAGCTCCTTTCCATGGTCTTTTAAGGAAATTAGGTAAAAGCAATATTCTACGAAGGCTTTCATAACCAATCCAGGCTCAGAGCAGCCAAGATCAGGCATTTCTCTGTCTACAAACTTGAGCCAAGCTGACCTTGCTTCCCTAT